AGAAGTGCCCACGATAACAATATCATGCATATTCATTACCGTGATATATCGCATTACCGAATACCGGCACAAGTCTAGTGCTGCACATTATTGACAATATTGAGCTGAAGCTTGACTTTGCAAATTTAAAATCGCAAATCAAATCGCAATATCTGTAAAAAAAAATCGCAATTTGATATTTTCCCCCAAATCGCACAGCCCTACTGCAGTGTTCCTTTTTTAACATCAAATCAGTCTTAAAGGATGGGGAAAAAATTTTGAAAATTGACTTACCTTCAGGCCATCCAAGATGTAGATGAGTTTACTTCATTGGAATAGATTTTGAGAAATTTAGAATTACATCACTTGCTCACCAATGGATCCTCTGCAGTGAATGGGTGCCGTCAGAATGAGAGTCCAAACAGCTGCTAAAAGCATCACAATAATCCACAAGTAATCCACACGACTCCAGTCCATCAATTAACATCTTGTGAATTGAAAAGCTGTTTGTAATAAATCCGCCATTAAGACTTTTTAACTTAAAACTGTTGCTTTTGGACAAAATACCAGTCCATAATTCATAATAATACTTCCCTCAGTCCATCCCCTGTTGTCCTCTCACATCAGAAGCCACCAACATATTTGTTTAGGACTGTTTTCGCTTGTAAACGGTGCTTGATCTGTGCACATTTTTTCCTGATTCAGACAAGACAATTTTTTCACTGGAGAAAGAAATATTATGGATAGAAGGACTCTAGCACAGAACGTTAAATGATGGACTGGAGGCATGTGGATTACTTATTGTGATGTTTTTATCAGCTGTTTGAACTTCTCATTCTGACAGCACCGATTCACTGCAGAGGATCCATTGGTGAGCAAGTGATGTAATGCTAAATTTCTTAAAATATGTTAAGATGAAGAAACCTCATCTACATCTTGGATGGCCTGAAGGTAGGTAAAGCAAATTTTCATTTTTGAGTAAACTATTTCTTCAATATATTGAATTTCATAGCTTGTGTATTTGTGGTGTTTATTGAGCCAGGTTCAGTATTCATCAAAGGGCTAATGAAGAACTGATGGCAGGTGTACAAAAGCATACAAAAGCAGCCAGAGCTGTATGTTCTGTGGTTTTATTTTTTGTAGCTGTTGAACAACATAAGAACAATGAGGGGATGAGTCAAGGTTTCTGTTGCTTAGGAACAAGAGCACCCACCCAGAAGACACCAGCCTCTTTTTTTTTCGACATTAACCCATCCTTTCAATAAATTGTTTGGTCCCTTTCTGGTTTCATTTCCATAATTCAAACACAGATTGAGATATCTTGCATAAAATAAATGGCCTCATTAATGAAAATTATTCTGTTGTCTTTTCAGGTGTAGAGTTCCCTGGACGGCAGCTGAAGAAAGCAGCTGGTCAAGCCTGTTGATTTCTTCTGGCACTTGGTGAGGATCTGTTTCTTTAAGAATAGCTTTCATGATAAATCTATCTGTAAATCTATTACAGAACATTTGGTGGGTTTTATTTTAACCAGAAAAGGCCTTGCAGACTGTGGTCATCTCAAAAAAGGAAGGAAGTGACCTTGAGGTTTATGTTGTTGAATTACTTAAACGGTAGCATTTGTTTTTGGTTAGTAATGACTAGTGCTGGGCGATATACCGGTTTGAATTTTGCAACCGGTATGAATTTTTAAAAAACTGCCACACCAGTGTAAGTGCCTAAGCAATGTAGAGAGCATCATGAATTAAGAGGGGATCTCTGTTAACGTAACCTGCAAAGATTGCCGGCGGCCTCAGATTGTTCTCTCACATTCACAGCACGTTAAAACATCACACTCTTACTTGATCTGGACAAACTGTGTATCATTAGATAGATTTACGACTCCAGCTTCGATATTTTACCACTCTTTATGATAAAACTCGGTTGCAGGGATAGTAATTTTCACATAGCTGCATAGCGGCACTTCCACCGAGGGAAATATAGGCTATATATAAAACAGCAAACGGGATTATTGAAAATGCACATTCATTCTCTGTCAGCAGGAGGCGCTTTATGAGCGGCAGAAATAGCGGTTTCCCCGGAAACGGCTGTAAGCAAAGCAGTGCATTCCTATAGACTGCAGTGTTTCCCTACAGACTTACACTCTATGTGTGGCGGCACTTGCTCCAGGGGAAATATACATAATGTAAATATAAAACAGCAGTTGGGCTGATTGAAAATGCTCATTCTCTCTCTGCCAGCAGGAGGCACTTTAGGAGCGGCAGAACTAGCGGTTTCCTCGGTAACAGCTGTAATCAAAACAGCGCTGCGCTCATGAACGCTACTTTATCAGGCATTATAGGAAAGATTAAATTAAAATGTCATCGAAACTTTTCTAAAGACAGTTGGTGCTCTTCAAAGGTACATTCATATAAAAACACCCGCGCCGCGTTTTGACTTTGAAACGTGCAGAGCTCATGTTTATTCAACGAAGTCAAAGCATTTTGGAAAATCTATTTGTGGCGGTCAGTGTTGATATTGTGGCGGGCCGCCACAAATAAATCAATGTATGGGAAACACTGAAAAAATAATGATAAAAGAATAATGAGGATTACATCTCATACCAGGCAGAGGTCGCAACGCAAATACTGTAGCAGGCAAAGCAAGCTCACCGTTCCCGATGCGCGATGAAAATCAGGGGTTATATGAATGTATCTCTCGGAGGGGAACTGATTGTCTTCAGAAAAGTGTAGATGGTATTTTCTTTTCATCTTCCCTTAAAATAATTCATATTAAAGTAGTGTTTTTAGGCTCCATTCTGCTTTGTTTATAGCGGTAACCAAGGAAACGCTCGATCAATGCTGTTCCATAAGTGCCACCTGCTGTCAGAGAGTGATTTTGCATTCTCATTCAGCCTGTCTGCTGTTTTTGTTTAGTGTAGTTATGTTTTATGCAGCATAATTTCACAAAGCTAAAGTCAGACAATTTGTTTTTATTATACAATCTAATTTAAATCAAAAACTGCTCATGTTTCATGTAGCATCTTTTTTGAATAGTGATTAAAATGCAGTGGTTCTGCAACTGTTTCATGCATTCTGATTCATATAAAAGCCCTGTCAGGGATAAACCGTGAAACCGCCAGAATCCTAAAAAAAAACATACAGATTTTTGTCAAACCGCACTAGTAATGACTCTTTCAAGAACATAACTTAGAACTATCTATATGCTGCTGTTGCCTAGTTACAGAGAGGAAATAAAAGCCCACCTGTGTCACTCAAATCAGTACATTTCTAGCATGGTGACTGTCTATTGAGAGCACGCAATTGACAGGTTATGATGTGAGGCAGTATTTATTTAATATAAGGACAAAGTCATAACCAAGAATGTCTCATTAACATCCAAACAGATTTAAGCCGCGGTCACACTACACTTTGAGCATGTGAAATTCGTTCGGACGCTGCAACGGTCGTGATATGACGTCATGCTCTGCTCCGGTTTGCATCCTTCTTTTTCCCAATACCCTGCATTAGAGTCTCAGAACATGTGGTTTGGGTGACTTTTTCCAGACTTTTAACACAGGCCATCCTGTAGGTAAAAAAAAAAAAAACTGAATTTTTGTGATGTAAAGAATGTAACAACGTTTAACATTATCACAGCATTAACCATATGCGTGAAGACTCTACACAGCTACCAGAACTTCACTACTTAATCGGTTATCTTTAAAAGTAAATAAGTAAAACGGCTTTATTTCACAATTAAATTCATTCCCAAGTGAGATGTTATGTAAATACTTGATGCATAAGCCTAAAACATGGTGGAATCTAAACAAGCGAATTCGCAGGCCAGAGTTCACCAAGTTTGAACTTTGGAATGCAGCGAAATGCGAAAACCTTTCGCACGGGCTTGCGTTTCCGGTCTGATGCATTCACATGTGTATGAATGGAAGTCAATGGAGCGAAAAGTGCAGTGTGACCACAGCTTTAGGCTGACAAAAATTAATTGTCATGCTGATTTATATGCAGATCTTGAAATTGTGAATAGTGGACAATTTCTGGCCAATCCTTACGGTGTCTCATTTCATGTTCTCAAAACCAGTGAAGATCAGGTGACTTTCACAGGAATTTTCTTCTGAAAACCACTGTAGTGTCGCTGCCCAAATCATGCTGCTATGCCTGAATGAAAACGTCTACTGGCTCTCATATCTGTAATCCTAAATTGCCTGGAGAGCTTGGAGTCTCACGTCTGCTGTATTTTCACTTGTTGCATGGCTGAATCACTACTTAATCGGTTATCTTTAAAAGTAAATAAGTAAAACGGCTTTATTTCACAATTAAATTCATTCCCAAGTGAGATGTTATGTAAATACTTGATGCATAAGCCTAAAACATGGTGGAATCTAAACAAAATCATAATATATACTAGACTTGTGCCGGTATTCGGTAATGCGATATATCACGGTAATGAATATGCACGATATTGTTATCGTGGGCACTTCTAACTAGAGGTCGACCGATATGGGTTTTTCTCTGGCCGATCCCGATGTCGATATTTAGAAATCAGAGCAGCCGATCACCGATATATGATGCCGATTTTCTTTTCTTTTTTCCCCTTCATCTCATAAAAGAGAGTTTGAGTAAATGATTATTGCAGGGTACAAGATAGTAGTAGTAGTAGTAGTAGTAGTAGTAGTAGTAGTAGCCTAATTCATAGTGATAATACATGGCTCAACAT